GACTTGATCTGGACTGGGTTGGGATGTTTTCTTAATATACAATTATTCTTAAGATATAAAGCTCTTTCTTCTACACATATGAGTCTCCTTGGATTTGTTTCTCTGGTCTACCCAGACTAACACAGTGACTTAGAAGAAAAGGTTAGCTATCTGCTTCTGAAAAAAAATCATCCACTGAAAATATTATGGCACACACAGCTGCTTTGACACATGTAGGGTCGCTGTAACTTGCTCGTCACTGATTATTATGTTAGATTATTCTGGTGTGTGTGTAGAACACTAGGAGAGAACGACTGTGTTGGTGTTTTGAGGAAGCTTTTGCTGTAGTGGCAATACAATTTGACAGACTTTTCTTTCCTTGTAGAAACCTCCACATGATTTCAATCTTTCTAGGCATTTGTCCTGTGGGAGCCCTGATGGCTGAGTGGGTCTGTGTTGGTCAACAGCTCGAAATCACCAGCCTCTCCATGCGAGAAAGGCAGGGCTTTCTACTCCCCGTAATGAGTTCCAGACTTCTGTAGGAGAAGAATCCTTTCAAGTTCAAAGGACTCTTCTTGAGCTGTATGAGAGGGGAAGTGTAAGCAAGAGCCTGCGTGTTGAACGACACCCTTTGGGTTACTGTAGGAGACCAATCAGATTCCACAGCATTCCAGCAGGGAGGAGACTGATGGGAACTTTCTCATTACCTGTTCATTTCTTTCTCCCTACCCTCTCTCTGGTCACAAGGATGGGTCATTTCCTATGGTGTGCGGGCCAACAGGTTTTCCAAATTGTTATCGCTAATTCTGAAACTAGAACGATCAGATGTTAGGGTACCTGGAAGAGATAGTCATTTTCTTTCTTTTTCTGGCTGGAAAGACTGGACTTGCTTAACAATCGCCCCGGGGAGTCAAGTGAAATGGACAAAGACTTCAATGTGCACGGCTTCTAAGATGCAAGGATGATGAAACTTAGTTTCACATCCTTTGGACATGTTATCAGGAGAGACAGGTCCCTGGCAAAGGACGTCATGCTTGGTCAAGGAGAGGGCCAGTGGAAAAGAGGAAGGCCCTTGGCAAGAGGGATGGACCCAGTGGCTGCAGCAATGAAGCTCCACCATTACAGCAAGCGTGGGGATGCCTCAGAACTGGCCAGTGTTTCGTTGAGTGGTACATAGGACTGCGATGAGTTGTAACCAACTCGACGGACAGCGCCTAACACATTGATTCCACCTCAGCATCGTCTTGAACACACCCCTGAGCTCCTTTCCCTCCACCTGGAAGGACTGAATGAAGACAGAATAAAGACAGTGCTGCTTTTTACAATCACCTTTTACCGGGAATTCCTTGGTGGGAAAGGTCAATATGTATTTAAAAACCCACTGCTGTCGACTTGATGCCAACTAAACCTAGAACTGCCCCAGGGGATTTCCAATGCTGTAATCACTACCTGGTCTTCTCCAGCAGAGCAGCTGGTGGGTTTGAACCATTGACCTTTCAGTTAACAGCTAACTGCTTAACCTCCAGCATCATCAGGGTTCCTTCACATTTATTATCTGGTGAAAATACATATCGCAGGACTGTCATCTTAACATGTTTTCTATACATATGCACACACTCGCATAGGCACACACCTATACCCATGTACATGCCAGCAGACATACGCCTCTCTGCTGAAATAACCAATAGCTTTCAGGGTCAGTGGAACACAGTGATTAAAAGCTCAAGCCATGGAGTGTGATAGATTTAGGTTCAAATCCAGCTCCTGGCTTCCTGGCAGCAAACAAGTCACTTAACCTCGCTGACTCGTTTTCTCCTTCAGTTAAACAATATCTACATCAGACAGGTGGGTCCATAGGAGGATGAGGTTCATGCAGTGTTATTGTTGCTCGGTGCCATCAGGTTGGTTCCTATCTACACAGAACCTTCCATGGAAAGTGTGGAGGGCTTGAGGCATTTTCTAATTGCGACCAAGTGTGGTAGCCTTCTGTGTAGATGACAACTCCATGCCCAGAACACCCAGATCCTCACAGCTGGACCAGTGGGGAACATCAGGCGAAATGGTAAAAAGATGGAAGTTGTCAAGGATTTCATCTTGCTCGGGTCCACAATCAATGCCAATGGATGCAGCAGTCAAGAGATCACATGATGTGTTGCAATGGGTAAATCTACTGCACACGACCTCTTTAAGGCATGGAAAAGCAAGGATGCTACGTTAAGCAGTACGGCGTTGAGCAGTATGGCATGACCCCAGTTTTACCTTACAAACGCCACAGTGTTTTCAACGACCTCCTATGTAGGTGATCGTTACAGACCTCACAAGGAAGATGGAGGAAGAGTCGGTGCATTTCAATGGTGGTTGCTGGGAAAGACCATTGAAAGTGCCATGGGCTGCCGAAAGAACCACGGGATTTCCCTTGGAAGCGGTACAGCCAGATGCTATGTAGAAGGAACGATGGCAAGACTTCATCTCATGTTAGCAGGAGAGACTAATCCCGGAAAGATGACATCATGCTTGATTACATAGAAGGGCAGAAAAAAAGAGGAAGAGCCTCAAAGAGATGGATTGACACCATAGGAACGATTGTGAGTGCGGCCCAGGCCCGGGTCGTGCGTTTTTCCTGTTGTAGACAGGGTTGCTATGGGTCAGAGGAGACTCAACGGCACCTAACAACCACAACTTATCTAACAGGATGAAACACTGCTCATCCTGCGCTGTCCCCACAAGGGTGGTAATCTTTGAGCCCGCTGTTGCACCCACCCTGCCACCCCCTCTCCTTGAGGAACTTCCACTTTTTTTGCTGTCCTTGTACTTCACCAGCTGCAACACTGGCATCTCAGTCAAGGCTTCGCCAACTCTACAGAGCACCCAAAAGATGAACAGGCTGCTCTGATAATAACGCCGGCGTTTTGCAAGTGGGGCAATCAGGAAGCAGGAAAGCTCCGTGCTTATTTCAGAGGGTCCAGAATATCACCACAGCACCATGAGGGAGGTTGCTGACAAAACAGCGGTCTGACTCAGTAGTTCTGGAGTGAGGCTTGCGAAGGTAAGTTCCTAGGTGATGCTACTCCCATGAGGGTCCACGGCCCAACCATTGAGCAGCAAGGCACACATTAAAACCTTAGAACTGAAAGCCCAAATGGCTACAGAGTGGTCTTGCAAGCCAAGTCAGAGAAGAAACAGACGTTCTTGTGTGACCCAGGTGAGTATGGAGTAAACTCAGACTCTTACGGCACATCAGAGAAGGTGGTATCCTGTTGTCTCATGAGCCTCTGTATGAGGAGGTGCTGGACTGATTTCCACTCCTCTGTTCCCAGAACCAGGCAGGAACCCTCTGAACCCCCAAGAGAGATGGCCAATCCAGTTGTTCCGGATTTGCTTACCTGTCATAGTCTTGGCAAATCTCTCCCACAGCCACCAAGGCCTTCAGGTACTCATTCGGTTGATAAGGGTGGATGTAGTGCAGGGAGCAGCTGTTCCTGGGGTCCCCGTTTGAGGCAGTGAAATCTATAGCTACCTGGAGGAGGAAAACAGGAGAATGGGTGGATTCTAAGGGAATGCATCACCTAGGCATTGTGCTCAGACACAGTCTCAGAAGGGGGGTGGGGGTGGGGATAGTATATTACATACCCTGTCCAGAAGGAAACTTAGAGAAGGAATTAGTTTGCCCAAGAAAACAAATAAACAAAACTAATTATTCTTTTGGGTAAAACCATTTCTGTAGTCCCCGCCCTCCCCACCACCTCCTTCCCACCATACTTTCTCCCCTCCTTATCGGCACAGCAAAATTTAAGGTTGATGTCTACATCCAAAATCCCAGTCCCTGTGAACTCCTCGAGCAAGAGCAGTAGTAGGCTAGCCATCTATCCCCACTGCCCAGATTTACATTTCACTCAGGAAATTGTTCTGTGTTCTCTGGGTAGATCAGCGTTGCCTCTGAGGCATAGGTAAGGTCCCTTAGACAATGAAATTGGTGGTTGAGATTTATAGACTAAGCTATCGTTATATTTGACAAGTGGTCAGTTGCTGAGAGATGTGTTGATTTAGCTCTAAACGATGTTTTGGAAGACGTTGTTTCTTGTCGGGCATTCAGCTTATTGGTCCCCATTCGCATCAGAACTCTTAAGGGCGGCTAAGACTGACCGACCACATCAGCTGATGTCCGTGGGAGTGGGAACCGGAGAAGTGAACCTTTTATCTTCTCAGTTTGTGTTTCTGTGTGCTGTGGAAGTGATTACAACTCACAGCAACCCCGCAGAATGGCCTCAGGGGGGTTTCTGGCTGTGAGCTCCATGGAGCAGGTCATCAAGCCTTTCTCCTGCAGAGCTGCTCCGTGGGTTTGAACAAGAGACCTTTCACTTTGCAACCAAGTGATTACCTGTCTGTTCCACCAGGCTTCTTATTTCACCACCAAGTAGTCATTGTTTTTCAACTTTTTACATTTTTCCCCCTCACTTCCAACCTGATACCTGTCTAAGTAAAAAGCTGGCTTAGGAAGCAGGTAATAATGATCACAATGCTTAAGACAAGAAAGTATTCAAATAAAGAGCCTTTCTTCTGATTTCCAGCATAACCGTGATTGCTCTAGATCAAGGAAGGGTTCAATCCAGCAAACGGTTTGCCCAAAAGGCTTACATCCTGGGGTCTATGCTCAAATGCGGAGTCACAGAGTAGGAAGAAAGTGCCCGTGTGCATCTTTGCCTTCCTTCTGGGCTCACAGAATCCAGTCACCAATGGACTCCTTAGAGAAAAGCTCCCTTTCCCTCAACACAAGAACACTTTGTTCTAACAACCTGGCAATCTGGGATGCTCACTTTCCCGACACGATCACTGAAGTCAAAATGGGTGCATAAGCAAATGTAGTGAAGAGAGCTGATGGTGCCTGGCTATTAAAAGATATAGCGTCTGGGGGCTTGAAGTTAAACAAGCGGCCATCTAGTAGGGAAGCAGCAACGCCCACATGGAAGAAGCACACCAGCCTGTGTGATTATGAGGTGTCGATGGATAAGGTACTAGGCATCAGAAGACTCAAACCAAACATATCGATGCAAATGATGGGAGTTGCAGGGCAGACCCAAAGTCCATCTGTAGATAATGGGACATTCCCTCACAGAAGGGTCACAAGGAAAGAATGGAACAGCCAGTTCTTTAATGCTTACTCCTCCTCACTATCATGACCCCAGTTTTACCTTACAAATCCAGCTAGACCAGAGCATAGACACTGGTACAGATAAGGGCTCTCAACACATGGAATTCAGGACAGATAAAGCCTTCAGGAACAGCAGTGGGAGTAGCAATACCATGAGGGTAGGGGGAAGGTGGGGGGAAATGGGGGATAAATGAGGAATCAACTACAATGATGCATAATTCCCCCATCCCCAGGGGGATGAACAACAGTAACATGGACGAAGGGAGATAGTAGGTGGTGTATGATATGAAAACAATAATAATTTATCATTTATCAGGGGTCCATGAGAGGGAGGATGGGGGAGGGAGGGAAACAAAAGAAGAGCTGATACCAAGGGCTCAAACAGAAATAAAGTATTTTGAAAATGATGAAGGCAACATATGTACAAAGGTACTTGATGCAATTGATGTGTGGATTGTTATAAGAGCTGTAAGAGCCTCCAGTAAAAAGGATTTATCCATAATTATAATAAAAATAAAATAATTTATTATTTTAAAAATAATATAAATAAATAAAGTTTTCACTGGAAAAAACAAACAAACAAATAAACACAGAAAGAAAAGCTCCCTTGTGATCTTGTTGTTAGGAACTGCTACTTGTGCTATATTTGGCCCAGATGCATTATAACGGATTACTAGAATGCCCCACTGGTTTTATTAAGTTGGGATGTGAGTTCTCGAAAGACCGAGAGAGGGCAACATGCATTTTGCTTGTTTTTCTTTAGGTTCAGCCTATTCAAATAAGGCTGATTAAAAACAAACAAACCCATGACCTTGAAATCAAATCAAAGTGACCAGAAGAGAAAAATAATACACCCATAAACAGTAACTCATTGATAGCTTTTTTCCCCCTCAAACAAAATTATTTTTCCATCACTGGCTCTCCCCTGCCCACCTTCATTTTCCCAGAGGACTATGGGTGAAAACAGGAGTCCCGATGGGATACTGGGTTAAGCATTGGGCTATTAACAGGAAAGTGGGCAGTTTGAACCCACCAGATACTGCTTGGCAGAAATATGAAGCTGAAAGAGTTACAGCCCTGAAAACCCGAAGGAGCACTTCTACTCTGTTCTATTGGGTGGTTACAAGTCAGAAATGACTGGATAATACTGAAAACTCACTGCCACCGAGCCATTGCTGACTCACCGTGACCCTATTGGACAGAGTCCCACTGCTCCTGTGGTCTTCTGAAACTACACCTCTTCATGGGAGTAGAAAGCCTCATCTTTCTCCCAGACAGTACTGAGATGGTTTAGATAGGATTCAAACTTCGTCTTCAGAACACATAGATGGTTTAAGGAAAGGGGTGCCAACTGAAATCATGCTAATATTAACCGTGTGCCAGAAGGAAAAGCCACGTGAAGACTAATGGCCTCATTCCTCCCTCATCCTTAGAGGTCCTTGGTCCAGCTAAGGAAAGAGGAGTGGCCTCATCCTTAGAGGTCCTTGGTCCAGCTAAGGAAAGAGGAGTGGCCTCATCCTTAGAGGTCCTTGGTCCAGCTAAGGAAAGAGGAGCGGCTTTCGTGAAAACCTTTCTGTGTCAGGCACGGCGTGGATTGCTCCGCAGATATTATGTTATCCAATTTCCATCAACACTCCGGGAGATTTCATCATTCTCTTTTATTGATAAAGTCACTGATGCTGAAAGGTGATGAAGGTGAGAGGTCATAGAGGTGGAGTTGGCTTTAAAACCCTGTCTGTCTGAGGCCAAAGACTATATTACTTTCTCCACTATGCCCAACGGAACGCTATATCATGACTTCTCAGATCCCCATAAAACATTGGAGGATTCGGCCTGAAGGCAGCAGAAGCAGCTAAGAGGCTCCTACAGTAATTTAGGAGATTGAAGTAGCCTTAAATGAACTTAACGCAACAGCTCTTTGGACCCGAAGCAATGATAAAATAAAGGAGAAGTCGATTGAAGTATGTGAGTAAGTGGGACCTCTCATTCTCTGTGTCTGTGGGGGGGTGTGCGCGCGCACTCACACACATGCGTGTGCATGTGAGATGCAAATCGTGGGAAGATACTGCTCCTGAGAATGACTAGAAGTGACCCAAAAGAACCAGGAACATCTAGACTCTTTGGGGCTTGGCTTCAGTCGGAAGGGGCAAGTGCAGCCCCTGAAAAATCATGATGTTGTTGGTAGGTGCCCTCAAGTCAGTTCCTACGGGCTCTAGGCACGCTGTCGGTCCTGCCCCATCATCACAGTTGTTACTGTGTCTGAGTGCAGTGTCGCAGCCGCCACCATGTCCATCCATCTCAGCCAGGGTCTTCCTCCTTTTCACTGTCCTATACTTTACCAAGCATGGTGCCCTTTTCCAGGGACTGGGCTCTCCGGATATGTCCAAAGCATGTGAGACAATGCCTTGCCATCATTGCCTCCAAGGAGCGCTCTGGCTGTACTTCTCCCAAGATGGATTGGTTAGTTCTTCTGGAAGTTCACGGTACGTTCGCTAGCATGCATCAGCACTGTAATGTAAGTGCACTGGTTCTTCCTTAGTCGATGTGCAACTTTCCCATGCATATGAAAAACGAGATGAACAATGACAACAAGGACAAAGGTAAAGGTCCTCTTCATCAAGGATAAGGACAAAAACCTCGTGGCAGGAGGAGCTCCTGTGACCAGAAGGAGATCTGAAACACCCTGGGATCCAACCATCAGGCCATGTCCCAGACAGAGGTCCCTGTACAAGCACATCATTCTGGGCAATGCCCAACTTTCCCATGCATATGAAAAATGACAACAAGGGATCCAAGCATCAGGCCATGTCCCAGACAGAGGTCCCTATACAAGCACATCATTCTGGGCAATGCCCAATGTTCCCATGCATATGAAAAATGACAACAAGGAATCCAACTATCAGGCCATGTCCCAGACAGAGGTCCCTGTATAAGCACATCATTCTGGGCAAGCTTCCCCAGGAAGAACATGCAAAAGGCACTTGAGACACAGCATCTGAAGAGTTTACACAGCTGGGTACCTCTGCATGTACTAAGAGCACCCTCCCAGAGCCTTTTCATGCCAATGAGAGCCATCTAAGACCTGTGGGTCGCGACCCTTTTGGGGGGTCGAATGAACCTTGTACAGGGGTTGCCAGATTCCTAACAGTAGCAACATGACAGTGGTGAAGTAGCAGCGAAAATAATGTTATGGCTGGGGGGTCACCACCACACGAGGAACTGTATGAAAGGGTGGCGACATGAGGACGGTTGAGAACCCCTGGTCTCAGACATAAGGACACCTTGCATGATGTACATAGTGTTTAAAAGATACAAGCAGTGCTTGCATGGCCAGGGGGAAAGCCACCGCTTTCTTTTCTACTCACGAG